TATTGATTAACATGAAAGAGAAGGAGGAGGTGAGAAATGAGGTAAAGAGAGGCATTTCATAACCATCTTTCTTGATTCTCTACTATTCAATTATCTGACTTTAGGTCTGTAGTGTAACTGGATATTATGGTTCCTTCATGATTGAGTGGAACATGAAATTAATTCTAGACATTAAATTGAAGAGAATAGTGATGTTAGTCACTTGTGGGCTATATGTTTTGTTTTTTCTTTGTAGCACTTACCGTACTACCCAGATTCTCTTTTTTAACAGAGATTCCATTGCTGCTGACAAATGATAGTGATCATAAAGTATGGGTGAAAAATGAATGTTTGATATTTTAAATCATGTATTTAACTAGAGTTAGCCTGTTTGATTGATATACAATGCTTATTCCACAGTTTAGAGGAATGCATAGAAAGTTTGCTAATACAATTTTTGGATTAGAAAAATATCAATACATTATGGATTCCAATATATAAACATTCTAGGTAAGACAAGCAAGGAGATATAACTTTAAAAGCTATTTCCAGAAAGGGAGAGAGAGATACAGGATGAAGTTTTAAAAAGTACCAAATTACCACATGCAAAAAACACACGTGGAGTTAAATAAGAACTAAAAGCACGTTTTGGATCTAGAGTCATGTTGGCTATTTCTGAAAAATAAGATTTGTACAGTGTGTTGAATTAGTGATGAAGGCACTTATACCTCAATGTAAATAACTCATTGAAATCTCTAACAATGAACATAAGAAAAGAAATTTATTTCTGAAAAACATGGGGTCATAGCTTTATTTCCGTGAGAGAAAAAATATTTTTATTCAGAATATTTTTAAAATGACTATAACTTAGCACTGACCAGTTAAATGAAAAACTTTGAATATAGAACTGACATAAAATAAAAAGCATGACTATAGTGTAATCATAAGAAATAGAACAAACAAGAACATATATAAATCTGGATGCAAATATCCTGATGGAATATGATTGTCCCTGAAATAAGCAAAAGACAATCAATAGCAAATGATTCTAATAATTCCAAAGAATATGAGACCAGTGCTGAGGTAGAGGTGAACTTTAAGTAAAAGGACATTTCAAACAAAGAAAAGAGTATTTATGTGTGTTTACTTTTGTATATTAGAGAAAGAAAGGTGACAGAGTTTGCATCTGATGGAAAGTTCTATTTTTATCAGTGAGGGAGAGAAAAGGTAATAATCTCAGTATAAAGAGATATAAGGAGGGCAGAGGTTCAGAGAGCTAACTTACTAAAGAAATATTATGAGCTCTCAAGGAAATATTGAGGTTCCTTATTGAGGCTTAAACCCACAAAATAATCAAAAACATCTCAGATATACGATTTTTCTCTTGACATGTCCATCTATCAGATGGTAGCCATAGGAAAGGGCTCCGAATGGGTTATGGACATAGACTTGCAATGGAATTGTACTGAGAAGAAGATAGTACAGAGCAGCCCAGAGATTTACAAAATATCGATTGAAAGGGTCCTGATTCTTGGAATTAATGCTGGAAATGTTAAAAATAAAAGTAATGGCATGGCTGGGTTTTTAGCTCAATGGCATAAATGCGTGCCTGGCAAGTGTGAGGTCATGGGTTCAGTTCCCAGCGTGGAAAAAAAAAAAAAAAAGCAATGACATTTATTTTGTGTCATATCCTTGTGGTTTGAAGGCACTTCAGAGTAGGGCAGTGGAGAGAGCACCGATTATTGTTCAAAAATGGCATGTGGAAGTTAATAGTTTGGAAAGTTAAATATGTTGGAGTAATAAGGAAAATATAAGAGCAGTGGCAGTGGAATATTGGGGAATAAGCTGAATGGTAATGAAGTGATGAATGGCTAGTATTTTTGGAAAGGTCATTTTCATGGGCATTACTGTGTTAGAATAATGACATGGGTTAAAATGTCTTATTCATTCATAAATCTTTATTGATTAATGGCTGCTGACTGAGAAATATTTAATCTGTTGAAATGAGGAAGGGAGGGTTTGGTAGGAAAGGTACTCAAGCACTGGAGCAGAACCTATTAAGCCTAGAGAGCGATGGGGAGAAAAGGCATTGGGTGGTTGGGAGCAATCATCTCTACTATGGGACTCTGAGGTAGGGTTCATAGGCAATGCCCAGACGCTATGGTGGAGCTTCAGATTGGCCAATGTCCACTGCAGTACATATGGTAGAAGCATACCGGTGGTATGGGTTAGTGAATGCCATGATGGGCTAAGAGGAGTTGGGTGTTGTCGAAATAAATCCTAAGAGATTGCTTCCTAAAGGTCTTTAAGCTTAGGATTCATACTTATTTGTTAGAAGTAATGTGAAGGTCTTTTGGTTTAATGAAAGAAGGGGAACTTTATCAGACACTTCTCACATCTTTTCCATTGCTTTGAGGCTTGAAGTGTCTTGACTTCATATGAAAATATCAGTGCATTAGAACTGCCTAAGGCGACTCTATAATATAGTGATGATAGGGAAAATAATATAAAATTCAACGTAGAAAATATTTAGGAGTGTCTGATAGGATATAGAATACTTTTTTGAGATAGAGCTCTATGTAGCAACAGTATCCTATTAATCATTTTAAGCTGCAACTGTGACTCTCCTGTCATTTTTCAGAGGAGAAAATATAAATAAATAATACAAACAAATCTGTCAGAGAGAAAACGGACTTCTTTGTAGAGTCACATGGACGTTCTGAAAGCTCTGTAACACTGACGGAACACTTTTATACGGAGAGAAGCCTGTGGTTTGTCAATTTAGTAGTTCAGTGGCCATACCAGCTAATTTTGACCAGTCCTAGATGTTTTCATGCTGCTTGTCACCTAAAATTCAATATCAAAATAAATGAAACACACTTGAGTGAATTTATATTTTTCACAGTTTCTTTGTGGTCTTATAATACATATTTTTAAATAAAGGATTGAAAATTCCATGCCACTGGTTGGACATGGTGGCGTGTGCCTGTGATGCCAGCATTCTGGGAAGCTGAAGCAGTAAGATATCAAATGTGAGTTCAACAAAGACAATTTAGAGACTTAGCAAGATACTGTCTGAAAATAGTATTTAAAAACAGGGTAAGGATTGTGGTTCAATGTTAAGTCCCCAGTAAAGGCCATGGGAATGGGGAATGACAGGATTCACCACTCATACAATTCAAACAAATTTATTGTTGTTTTTTGAGACAAGATCTGGCTATGTAGCCCAGGTTGACCTTAAACTCAGAGTGATCCACCTGCCTCATACTCCTGAGGGTTGGGATTACAGGTGTGCACCACCTTCCTTGACTTCAGTTGGAACTTTTAACTGCATTTAAAATTACCAATGTTTTTTTTTTTTTTATCAGTCACACAGTAAAAAGAACTCTGTTGATGAAAACAGGAGCAATTCAATGTAAATCATTGAGTTAATTTTTTAAAAAAAATTATTAAAGGGTAAATTAAGGTTCCAGGAATAGAAATAGAAAGAAAGAAAGAAAGAAAGAAAGAAAGAATGTAGGAGACAGAGAAAAGTGATTGAGGAGGTGATTAAGCATTTAAGATGGCAAGTTCTCCACACTCCATCCCCCATAGCTCTCCACCAACACTTCCATCCAGCCCGAATTTGTCAGAGCAGTGTGGATCTTCCAGAAAGAACAAGTGAAGCTGCCAGGTACATGATGGGGAGACAGAGATAGTCATGAGGACATGAATAGGCCAAATCTGGTGAGTGATGGTGTGCTGGACAGAACTCAAACTGTTCTGTAAGATTTACTGAGATGAGCACCATAAGAAATAATACCACCCTAAAACTATTATAGGCAGCTTAATTAGATGGAAATTAATATACAGTCATAGGGGATCCGGGCTCTTTAGGAAGTCAGCAGAATAATAAAGACATCAGAATGGTGGCTGGAGGTGCATCTGAAGAAGACCGGGACTCAAAGATAAAGATATAATGGCCAGGACCACACACCTCCCGTGGGAAACTCCCAACTTACTGGATGACTGGTATGAGTTCATGTTCTCAAAAATTGAAGAATGAATTTTAGGAACAATGGAGGTTAAGAGCAGAAAATATTTATTGAGAGAAAGAAAACTTCTGTCTGAGACACACACACACACACACACACACACGGGGGGGGGGGAGAGAGAGAGAGAGAAGAGAGAGAGAGAGAGAGAGAGAGAGAGAGAGAGAGAGAGAGAGAGAGAGAAGGAGTCCCAAGGGGGTTGCCAAATATTCTGTCATTTCTAGGCACTTTTATAGAGTAAAACAACAAAGTGAGGCAGGTTTAAGGTGGGGAAAAGAAGGGAACCACAAGGTGGGCATGAGGTGGGATAGAACTGGGTCAACTAATAAGATTAACCGCCCAAGTAAAATGGATTAAAATGGGGACAAATGGACAGCAAGTCATGTAGCAAGTGAGTGTGTTTGAAAAGCAGTGACTCTTCCTGCAGGCGGTTGGGTTAGGGACTCCCAGCTTCCTAAAGGTGGTAAAGACATATTTAGAATATCAATCCCTAATGTTTATTCTCAGGAATTAAGTGGGCACATTTGTCTTGGAGTCTGGCCCACAGAGAAAGTATCTGCATTCCCCACATTTGCAAGGTATCTGGCCTTCTGCACTGGGTCCTTTGAGGGTCCAGTCACGTGCAGTTACTGTCTGTAATGATTTTGTCTAACTCAGCTGCCTGTGATACAGACACTGGAGTTTATACCCCCTGTCACAGGAGCCACTCCTATTCCCTAATGAACATTTCCTACTCTCAACCTCTTCATCCTTTGAAATTAATTTTTATGTGACACCTAACAGGATGAGAGCTTTATTTTCCGTTATATCAAAATGACTGTCCACTCTTCTCTAGGTAAAGGTTCAATGTTGCTTGAGCTTGTAAATAAGACATGCCTATGGTGTTCAACCCCAGAATCATGAAGCATTTTAAAGCATGAATTTGGAAACAACAAATTGAAAAATGTCACACATTCTACATAGAAAATTTTTAAAAATTCTCAATCTGAAATCTCATAAAAATGTTCATAAGCATGATGATTGGGTGTTCATGCTCCGTGCATGACATGTGCCTCCTTTGAACCTTGTTACAACCTCGGCACATTACCCATCTGACATGAAAAAAAAAAAAAAAAGCAGTAACTGTCATCCACATGCAATTTATCTAGTGTTAAACCTTAACTTATTTATTTCCCAAAGATGAAATTCTGAGTAATAAGCATCAATACTTTGTATTAAAATGCCAATTTAGAAATCCCTGAACTCTATGGTAAACCTTACATGTAAGAATTGTTCTTATGTAAGACACAAAATTAATTTCTGTAAGAGAGAGAGATTATATCTTGTAAGCCATTCCAAATAGGATGTGCCACTTTTCGGGTTGGTATAAATGTAGATATGAGCTGCAGTGACTCTGTTCTCTGAATAGTGGTTCTGTCTCTGAGTATTTGTCACGTATCATACTCCTAGAGTCTTCGGTTAATTGTCCTCTTTCCTATCTTCCTCTTTGGAAATGCAAATTTTCCCAAGTACCTTAACCTGTGTAACTGAGATAGTCAGCTCCTGTGCAGTTGAATATACAACTTTTAAAAAGACATTGGTATGCACAGAAGCCAAAAGCACTAAGACTCTCAAATTTTAGCTTGTTTAAGAATAATATGCTGTGCTTAAATTGTGGTCAAAAACCACTAAATGTTCTCAGATTCCAATATCTTGTCATGAAATTGAAGGCTAACATGTTCAATTGTCCATATTTTGTATTCAAGAGAAGAGGAAATATTATGCAAATCATGATTAAGTCCGCTACTGCAGGGACACAGTTTGGGCCAAGTCTTTATTCTATTTCACAGTCTAATTCAGATTTCTCTAGTTGATGCTGTGAAAAGAGTTATAAAGGAATACAATGGCCAAGAGAAAGAGAAGCGTTTAAAAAGATACATAGAGATTCAAGGAAACTAAAATGGTATAATTGTTATGGACATGCCCTGACTATCTGTACATTAATCCAACTAACCTTGAAATAAATATTTTTCTATCCTATCAGCTAGCTGCTTTTTCTGGTTCTTGTCATTTTTGTTGGTCTCTCTGTGTAACAGTCTACATTTGGCCTGACAGTTCTTATATTTCAATCAACTTTTGAGCTAACCAAATCAATAGGTCTTTTTGGCATTCTTTAAGTATGACTGGAATTCTGTTAAATAGTATTGTTAATCAGCATCTATAAAGCACATCTAGCAATTGGAAATAGAGCATACACGACAGGAAAATTTACTCTTCCTCTTCAGTTTGTTTTTACTTGGTATTACCAGTATATTAGAGCAAAATACTTCCAAGGCATTATCAGACTGTTAAAACTGAGGGCACTACCTGCACTATGGTCAGAAGAGTTCAGATACAGTCTTACAGTGGTAATAACTTGGATGGGCACAGTACCTGAAAAGTAACAAGCCGACACTGGATAGTCAGCCTCAGGAATAATACAAGTTGATATAGACACATTTTATAATATTTTTCCATTTCACAATGACTTCTTATTCTTGAATTTCCTTCTTAACCCTCCAGCAACGAAGTGCTATTGTACTATGTGAAACTATTACTTTAGCCACAATCAGACCAAAGAGAGGTGGCTGCTTCATGCTGGGCCAGTCTACCTGTGTCTCTTAAGAGTTCTGGATTGGGCTTCTGGATGTGGTGTGACTGAGCCTCTGTGTGGCTGTAATTATAAATTGTAACCTAAAGAACTCTGGGGTGCCTATTCACAACCACCACTGCACAGAGAGATAGACTGCAGCAGCTGAACATAGAGGTAGGTAGCCAGAAAAGCAGAAAAAATTGTAAGGAGGGAAATGCATTTTGACTTTTTAATTTCTTATTAGGATTTCTTGGAAGCAAAGATTTGTCATTTTTTCAGCCTGCTATTAATTCCTCAATTTTTGCTCAAGCTAACACCACGGTATTTTTTTAAGGGTCACATTGAGTGTTTTCCTTTCATATGTACTGTATTTGCATTAATCAGACAACAAAATGTGTTTAGCACTTGTGATCAACAGCTTTATACAGAATGTGTATTCCAACAAAACCAAACAGGAAAGGTGATAGAATGAACTTCTTTATGTTGAAAAAATAACAATACATGTTATATCCACTTTATTGTTTTAAATGTTTTTAACATATGTTATCCATTCATTCAGTGGTAAAATTATTTGCTTTTTCTCTGTGTCAATAGATGCTCCAAGAACTTACTGTGTCACATGATTTTTAGAAATAAATAAATTCACAGATACATGAAAATGAAGAAAATAATTGGAACATATTTTCTCTTTGCATTTAGGGGGAACATTTTGCGATACAGGCAATTAAAGCAAAAATCAAAGAAATTAGGATACATACTTTTAAAATACTTTAGATTTTTTTGGGCAGTTGTCAAGCAAAGAGATGATTGTATTAAGACACTAAATAAAAATTAATGACAAATAAGAAAAAAACATATTATTATCATAAATTTTAATTTAACTAATCCTGGAGTAATTGTAATGATTGTTCAGACATTAATAGTAGCATAGCAAACATTTAACAAGTACCTGTACTGTGCCAAGAATTCTAGTACAACTTTTATAGTTTTTCTGATTAATCTTTTTAACAACTGTGATAACTGTCATCATTTTGTGGATGAAGGAATATGAACGGAGGGAGAAAGATGGTACTATAAAAAGGTGCTTAAAATCGAATTAAATATTTTATCTTTATATTTTGAGAACAATGTATTTGATTATGTGAGATGTACAATTTATATCTGAAACGTGCTCATAAAAATTTCCTTTTGAGGGGCTGGGGATTTAGCTCAGCGGCATAAGCACCTGCCTTGCAAGCTGGCGCTTGTGAGTTCGATCCCCAGTACCGATTAAAAAAAAAAAATCCTTTTGAGATCTTCCCTCTTTCCACTCTGGTCCTATTTTCACCTGACTTTCTCCATGGCCTTAAATGTTTAATAAAGAACATGAAAAAGCACAAATTTATACCATAAATATTTTGCCCTGTGTCAATGATCTAAACTTTATTGTCTGAGAAACAGGAATGCTTGCATATATTTTATCTTCTTTTCTTCAGTTTTTTTTTTTTTCAGAAAAATTACTTTTCTTCCTGATGTTAATTTCCTCCTAAAGTTGACACCCTTTGATTTTTGAGAATGGATGACAGTTTGCTCCTAGTTTAGCATGACAAGGTTGTTAAGATTATAAATGTGTATTCCCAGACATCTGAACATTGTTCACAAATTGGATTTTTTTGAAGTGTTAGCAATGTTCTTTTTGAGGTATTAATCTCTCCTTCAGCAGAGATGGGAGGAGGAGGAGGAGGAGGAACACAATTGCAATATTCCACAGACTTTATCATGCTCGGTTTTGAAGTTCAAGACCCCAAGTTATCTCTGGAGTAATATTTCATCTCTTAATCTTTATTTCTGCATTTACCACCCAGATCACATATTTTGCTGCACTGACAGAAACTTGTGTATGAATCCTCATTGTGTTTTCATCCTTATTTTCAAGTTGGTCTATGTTATTTCAAAGATATCAAGGTGAGAGCTTCAGTAAAATATTTTATTTCACTTATCCTCACCTTGTAAATTGCAGGGGAATATATGGAACAAAAAGGTGTGAGTTTGAAAAGATCCTCATCAAAGATGAGGCCTCCCCTTCGCTCTGCAAGGGCAACTTTACCTTTGCCAGGCGAGGGATCTCTACCGCGGAAATTCTCAGCCTGGGGTTGAGTCTAAAGCACAGTTTAATTCTCCATTGCTAGACACTAACTACCACTACCAGGAAAATGTTTTGAAAATCTAGTGTGTATAACCCTTCCTCTGATTCAAAGGGATAGCCCATGGTGTGTAGAAACTTGGCAGCAAAGCCAAGTAATTGGTAATGTGCTCCGCGGTCTCTTCCCACTGACATCTGAAGTTCTGTTCAAATAGAGCTTCTGCTGTCACTACTGCGCTTTTCTAGGACTTTAACAAACTGTATACCTGTGCAGCCCTCTGGTTGTTGTATGAAGAAGATAACTCACTTTGATTCGCAGAAATAGGAATCCAAAGAATTGCTGACTCCAAGAACACAAAGGCCATCCAAACACACATTAGAAAAAGAAAAAGATGGACTTGTCGAAAATTAATTTATTATGTGGAAGTATTTTGATTATTAGTGTAAAGTATCCTTATTAAATAATTGGCAGAATTTGTTAACACAAATAATATGTTTTTGTCATATTTTAAAAGAAATTTTCAAGATAGGTAGATATTTTAAAATATGTTATAAATAAAATCAAATTTAAATACATTTAAAATCTAAAAATCACATTTTTGGGAAAATAATGATAAAACCTTAAAATATGAAATATCTGAATAGATGCAGATATGGATGTCTCTCCATAGTCTTACTGTACTAGCAAAACTCCACAATTGAGATATCAGTTGTTTATAAATTTGTATTCCATTAAATTTCAATCCAAGTCCATGTAAATTTTTTTGATGGAAATCAATATATGTAGTTTAACATGGATTTACAAGAGCAAATGATAAAAGTTAAATGCTCTTTGGGAAGAAAACAGAAAAAGAGAGAGATCTTCCACTAACAGGAACATGGAAGAATTGTTAATGTCATCCACCATAGAAAAAACTCAATATAAAGCTTTAGTAGTTGCTAATGTGCTATTGTACCATAATTGGAAAAATTTAGGAAGAATAGAACCAGCCACTGGTACCCAAAGAATTGATTTGGAACAGAGTAGTAACACTGAATTATTGTTATTATTATATGGGAATAAAAAACTGTCCCAATGAAAAAATGGAATTGAATCCTCACCTCATGATATAAGTAATCATTTAAGTGGATTAAAATCTAAGTAAAGATACCAAAATGTTAAAACTTTTAGAAGAACCTTAAAAATAATTTTATGAATTTCAATTGAAAAAGATTTACTCTTTCTTTTCCTTTCTTCTTCCTTCCTTCCTTCCTTCCTTCCTTCCTTCCTTCCTTCCTTCCTTCTTTCCTTCCTTCCTTCAAGACAGGGTCTTACTAAGTTGTACAGCCTACCTTGAACTGAACATTCTTCTATTTCTTTTGAA